TTCCCTGATTTCTTGGTTTGTCACGCCAGGGTTTGATTTGGCATTCCAGATGTGAGATCAAAGCTCTGCTTTTTACAGCCATTTCCAGTGAACTGATTAATACCCATCACCTTTAATATCCCCAAATTTTCCAGAGTCAACTTTACACAATTATCCCATAGATCAAGATTCCTTTACTTTCTGTACAGGTAGAAATTTTCCTCTGCTGACATTGAAATCCTTACAGTACTAGTAATTTTCCATAGGAATGCGAGCCAGGAAAAGCTCAGGTCCATTCAAATCTGGAAAGGGCTTGAAGCAACATTTAAAGAATTTAAATTTAATCCACATTTAAAGAATCAAGGGATGGTTGGGGTTGGAAGAGACCTTAAAGATCATCCAGTCTGGCCTTGAACACATCCAGGGCATCCAGTCTGGCCTTGAACACATCCAGGGATCCAGGGGTAGCCTCAGCTTCTCTGGGAAAAATCCTTTTTTGTGTGCTTTCATTGATTCAGCTTCTAATTACTGTTGTTTTAAAAATGAAGATGGGTTGATTTGAGACTGAGAAGGTTTCCATCCAACAGAAGAAAAGGAGGCTATAATCTGGTATTTCTTTTGGAATATAGATGATAAAAAGAAGAATTATGATTTCTGGGAGCTTGTAAAATCCAGTATCAGTGATTTTCTCATTTCTAGTTGAGCATTATCCTGCACCTGCCTGGATTTCTTTGTTGATTTCTGGTGTTTTGGGTTTTGTCACATCCTTGGTAGACATAAATCTTTATCTCTTTCTGTTTATTTAAAGCTAAATTTGTTATCATCATAAGAATACTTTAACCAGGACTTTTCCATCTTCTGGAAATCCCTGTTGCTGGACATGAATTCTATTATTCTGCCTTAATTCTTTTTTAATAGAATCCTCTATCATCTGTTCTGTGATATTGTCCCTGATCAATATGAGGTGGAGAGGCCAGTAATTACCTGGGCTTCTCATTCACCCTTGGAAAATTCAGAGTGTGTTGGTTTTCCTTGGATTTTCTGGACCCTCCCAAGTATAGGAAGGATGATGAAAATCAGGGCTCACGGTGTGGAGTTTGAAACTGGTTTGGTGATGGAGCAGTGTGTCCACACTGCAGTTCCATCTGAATTCAGGGTATGTGATGGTGTGAAATACCAATTAAAGCTTTTAATTCATAGATCAGAACTTATTCAGAGCTCAGCCCTCCTATCTAAAACTTCACAAAAGCTATGAAAAACAAATAAATTTATCTGTCACTCTGGCCAGGTGTGTTTTAGAACCCATACTTTGTTCGGGTCAATCTTGGGCATGATAAGGCATAAAAACCTATCCAGCTTTTCCTGGGACTCAGCCAAGGAAGGAAAATGTGGATGTGGAGTGTCCCAGGAGCAGATTTGTCCTTGTGCCAGTGCTGCAGTCCAGAAGGACAGAGCAGAGCATCACCAGCTCAACATGATGGCCAGGCCACACACACTGCCCTGACCTTTTGGAATTTGACAATTTAATTACAGCCCCAAATCCATAAAAATGGCTTTTTTAATAAACCACTTTATATTAATTTTCATTCCCAAATAGCAGTGGGATGCAGGGTGCTTTGTTCTCCTGCATTTATGGACAGCTTTGTTTGTTTGAGGGATGTAAACACAGCCCAGGGACGGCAGGATTCAACCACGGAGCACAAAGTCAAAGTCCTTGTTCCAGATGAATGGGATGCTGCAAACTTTACAGTCCCTCATAAATCTTGCTGTGCAGCCACGTGATTAATGTCTAACAAGGTTTTTGATTGATGCCTCAGCAACTCCTAATCAGGTGTGGGACCAGATCAGGAAATCCCTTACGTGGCTCCTTCAGGAAAGCTCCTTTCGCTTACACGGGCAGGAAGGGCCTGGTTTTTTGTGGCTTTTTAGAGGATATTTTTAATATCTGGGTCCTTGTACCTTTCAAGTGGACTTTCAGGTTCTGTCTTGCTGTGGTTTTTAATAACCAGAGCACAACTTGTACCACTGAAATGTGAGATTTATTAAAATCCTCCATGAGGATGATGAGAGCAGAACAAGTGACAAACTGGGGCTGTCCAGACACGGGGAATAAATGGGGGCTGGTGACTCTGGGAGCACCAGGAACCTCCCAGTGCAGCGAGAAAGGGAAACTTGAGGCTGTTTGTGGGCACCAAGAGCTGCCAGGATTTTCAGCCTGGCCCATGAGTTAATATTGGGGAAAAGTTAGAAGGGATTTCATTTTCATGCTGCAGTTCCAAGCCAAATGAGCTGTGTTGAATCCTGGAATGGTTTTGGGTGGGAAGAGACCTTAGAGCTCATCCCAAGGCAGGGACACCTCCCACCATCCCAGGCTGTTCCCAGCCCTGTCCATCCTGGTCTTGGACATTCCAGGGATTTGGGGCAGCCACAGCTGCTCTGGGAATTCCAGCCCAGCCAGGAATTCCTTCCCCACATCCCATCCATCCCTGCCCTCTGGCAGTGGAAGCCATTCCCTGTGTCCTGTCCCTCCAGGCCTTGTCCCCAGTCCCTCTCCAGCTCTCCTGGAGCCCCTTTAGGTCCTGGCAGGGGCTCTGAGGTTCCTGGGATCCTCTCTCTGGAGATCACTCCTGTCACTGCTCAGTCACATTTCCAGTTAATTGCTTCATCCCAAAGAATTTGTGGAACTGTTGAATTCAGGGCACTGGAGGAGAGCTTTGATCTGCCTGGCCCACTTTCTGCTAGCCTTGACTTTTTTAACTGAAAAATGAACTCCCAATTCCTGTTTCCCTGTTTTCATCTTCTCAGAGGTCTCCACATCTCTGGAAGTGTCCCAGGCAAGGATGGACTGGGCTTGGAGCACCTTGGGAGAATGGAAGGTCCCTGCCCATGGCAGGGGTGGCCCTGGATGGGCTTTAAGATCCCTCCCAATCCAAACCATTCTGGAATCTGATGAATTTTGAGGATAATTATCAAAATCAGCTTTACATCTTCTGGCTTTTTCAGAGCCTTGAATCCAACCATCCTCCCCTGCCTATCTAGTAAATAGTTTAATCAAGTAAATTAATGATAAATTAACATTTTTCTCTAATTTTTCTGATTTTTGGCATTTTCTGAATATCTTAGAGTGAACTCATCTCTTGGTTCTCTGTTTCATCTGTTACTCACAGGGATAATTCATTCTGCTCCCAACCCAAACCTCTCCTGGCTTACTGTAATCCTGGATTTCACACTTAATATTCCCCACTCCTGGATATAATGTGACACCAGAATCGTGGAATCCATCATAAATAGGTTTCATCCATAATGGAAGAACAAATTGCTTAATGTTTTTCTTCTTTTTTTTTTTTTTTTTCAACTTCATTAAATTTGAGGGTTTAATTAGATTTTTGTGGCGATTTTGAGGTTGTTAATTTAAGTGGAGAAGATGAAATGCAAATAGGTGAACACAAACAGGTTTGGTAAATTAGTGGCAAAAATTAACACAGTGATTATTTTTACCAATGAACATGAATTTTCAAAGCCTGTGCTCAGGTAAAGTTTTAATTGAGATGGTTTAGGAATCAGATTTTCTATGTGTTATATTATTATTTTTTTCCCAAGCCATCCCAAATTGTTTCTAATTAGGAGCACGATTCCATTTGCCTGGATATTTATTCCTGTGTAATTTGTTTCAACTTAGGCAGCACAGGAGTGATGAATTCTTTTCATTACCTCCAACTCTCTTTGATGGGCTTTGACTGGCTAATTATTCACATGGAACACATTCCCAACAGCCTCTGAGGAGGTAAAAATTCCTGAAAATAAACAGACTTCTGAAATACACTGACAAAAGTTCATTTTTTGAGGGCTTCTATTTCATCTTCAGACACAAGGAAATTCAAATGGAATCACCTGGAGTCTGGTTTTACTTCTGCACATTAAATAATATCAAATATTGGGCTGCAGAGGTTACACAGGGGGGACCCTCGTGTCACAAAGGGAGCCCCCAGCCCCTCCTGGAGTGATTTGGGATTGGAAAATCAATCCTAAACTCCGCTGGCAGCTGCGGGAATTCATATTTTTGATGATGAAAGAAGCATGTTTGTGTTGGGAGGTATTAAAGAACAATTTTTGCAGCTTTCCAGGGTATTTTCCATCACATGTGGCTCCCAGCACACACATGGATGTTTCCTATTTCTCCATATAAATGCATTGGAAATATTTAAGCACATAAATGCATTTATAAACCAAGGGATTTTAATTGCAGTGCTCACTGTTGCAAACCTTTGTTTTTAAGAACATTAATTATATTTTATAATTAAATATAAAATATTTTAAATATTTTTATAGAATGTAGATTATACATGAAATATCTATATAATATAATATAATATAATATAATATAATATACTAATGATATGATATGATATGATGTGATATGATATAAGATATTAAATAAATATATATATAAATATATAATATATAATATATAATATATAATATATAATATATAATATAATATATATATAAAGATATGTATAATATAAATATATAAAAATATATATAAATATATATATAATATTTTATATATTATAAATTATTAGATTTCTAATCACTGGATAAAGCTCCCCCACCCTCTCACTGTGGCTGCCATGGACGGAATCACTTTTGGGAATTTTTTGCAGGTTCCTTTTGGGACCATCAGGGACTTGGAGCAGATTGATTTGGTCCAAAACCCCATTCCTGGGAGTGTCCAGGGCCTTGGACAGGACTTGGAGCAGCCTGGTACTCATGACAAGGGGTGGGACTGCATGATTTTGAAGGTCCTTCCCAACCCAAACCTTTCTAAGGAATATAAAATAAGTTTTTACCAAACTAGAGCCAGTCCTCAGGATGTCATTTCTTTAATCTAAAGCCGCGTTTCCATCAAGTAGAATTTTTGTGAGTTTCATCTGTTTTCCTGCCCAGAACCTAAAAATCCCAGGCATTGCAGGGACATTCTGACATGTTTTAGCCCAGCTGCTGAGCTCTCTCCTTCCCCCAGATGCTGCTGACGGAGTACCTGGACATGAAGAACACGCGCACGGCCTCGGAGCCCTCGGCCCAGCTCAGCTACGCCAGCTCCGGCCGCGAATTCGCCGCCTTCTTCGCCAAGAAGAAACCCCAGAGACCCAAAAACCCTCTCTTCAAGTAAGTGCAGGGGTTTGTAAAGCTGTGCCTAAGCTGCCTTTGGTCCCCGAGTGCTGCTGGTAATCGCAGTTTCACAGTGTGAGAGGTGTGGAAGTGCCGCGATGGGGATTTAATGCCCGGAGCTGAAGATGTGTTACAGATTCTGGGTTTTAGAGCTGAGCTCTTCCCAGGGCTCATTCCAGGACTGGGAATCCCATTACTGGAGCTGCTGCAGAGCATGGAGCGATCCATTCTGCCTCTCTTTGTCCACGGTAAATTCAGGACCTGTTAGAGGGAGTGATAAAGAGCACTGGACAAAGGGAATTAAGATAACTGTGTAATTACTGCATGGACTAAGCACTTAATCCTGTCACTAACTCCTTTAATTCAGCAGTCAGGCTGCAAAGAATTAAGTGGTTGGGAGCAGAGTGTAAGAGAGAGGAGGGTGAGAGAGGCTGGGTGGCCAAGGGAAGGATTTGGGAGAGCAGATTTGTGCAGCAGTGAGGAGTTGCTGAGCAGCGCTGGTGGGAGAGGAGATTCACACCTGGATTTGGAGGAGCTGTGCTGGAATTTTCTTCTCTTCCACCTTCTACCTGTGCTGGCCATCCTCTTGGGCCTCTTGAGAATTTTGGAGAGGACCTAAAAGTGCTGTTTTGGCAGACGTGCTCCCAGTAGATGTCCTCTCATAGTACCTGAGATCCCAGTTAGAAATCCAAGTCTTCCACGTTCTTTGCTCTCCCAGGATGAGCTCTCCTGTAACCTCCTGTTATTAGAGGTTAAGTGTTGCCTCCTTCCCCTATCAACCCATAATTATTACCCCTCACCCTATTTTTAACCCACTCCCCATGGCTGTTTTGGGTGAAGAATTCCACTTGGAATTTTCTCTGACCTGCAGAGGGATATTGGAGCAAAACAGGGCTGCTCATCCCGTGTCTGTTCCCGGGTGTAGAAGGACCCAAGTCTGGGGTTTGAGGACAAAGTTTGGGATTGCAGTTTGAGGAATGAGGCTGCTCTGTCTCACCTGGAGCAGGGCAGAGTTTGTCAGCAGAGAGGAGGTGGCAGTAATGGTTTAGAGGAAGGTGAATCACCTCGTGGGAGCAGCATCTCTCACCACTCCTGGCGCTGTCACCGAGCGGTGCCGTCCCCGCAGTGACAGCAGCACTTACTGGGATCTCTCATTTGCTTATCTGGCTGCTGTCAGCTGTCACCCTATCTATGGAAATCTCCCTTGAAATGGAATTTCTCAGCCCACTGAGGTTTGTACATGTTTGATGGAGTGTTATTCTTGTCTCCCCTCCCATCTTCGGCGTTTTCCGTGCCAGGCTCTTTTCCCTGCCTTTCCATTAGCCCTGTCCAGATTGAGGAGCTTTCCTCTTGTCACCACAAATCTACATTTCCTTCCTCAGCAGCCTCTTAGGGCAGGGCTCCACCTCGTGTTTTGCTCACAGGTGTTGGTGCTGTGTCCTCTGGTAGCTGTGAGCTCATTTAATTAATATTAAATATTAAGCTAATTTACTTAATATTAAATATTTCTGCTAAGTTGTGTCTTCAGGGAATAGAGGGAAGTTGTGTCCTGCTCTCTGGAAATCAGGAGCTGGTATTTAGAAGAAACTTGGAATCCTTATTTCCTTTAAAATCGTGTGGTAGTTTGGCATTTAGGAAAAAAGTAGAAATAATATATATTATATAATATATAATATATTTTATCTAATATCTAACATATATAATATATTATATATAACATATAATGTATATTATATTATATTATATTATATTATATTATATTATATTATATTATATTAATAATTTTTAAAAATTCCTTATTTAGTTGCAATATTGGCTTGAAAAAGAAAGCTTCAGATGAAGGGTAATTTGGGAATTTGGATAATTTATGCCATCATAAACCTGGGTTTCTTCTCTTCCCAAAAGAAGCCAAGGGCATGTTCAGGTTGCCAGCTCAGATTTCCAAGGTGGAAATCGGGAAATAAGACAGGAGTGAGTTGTACAAGCAAGAGCTGAATATCCAATAAATCAGTCCCAGACTTGGCTGTAATTCTATGTAATACAAAAATATTTTGAAAGCTTTGTGGGAAGGGAGTTACTGGGATAGAGGAGTTAAGAGGGAACAGGAATGTGGGGAAGAGCAGCTCCAGGAGGTGGCAGAGGAAGGGAAATAGGGGAGAAAAACTGGATGGTTCTGGAAAAGAAGGGATGAGATGTGGGTTTGGTGCCTGGAAAGGCCTGTGGGATAATGCTGCTGTTATTGTCTCACTGGGGCCAGAAGGGAGCACGTGGGGAACACAGAGCCAAGAATTTACAGCTCATTTAATTAAAATCCGAAGGGTTTGTTGTGTTTTGGTAAATTGTTATTAGTTCAGTCGCAATAACATCAACACTCGCAGTCCAAATTAGAGCAGAAAAGCCTCATTAATAGTAATAATCTTAACACTAGTGCCCAGGAAAGCTGTGAAATGCTTTCTCCTGTCTCTGGTGGGATGCTCATGTTTGCAGGGTCCCTCTGGGCAGCACTGGGGCTGATTCCATCTTCCTAAACCATGGAATTGGGGAGGGAATGAGGAATGTTACAGCAAACCATCAACACCTTGAGCTCTTCCTGTGACAGACGTTTCCTTTCCAGGTCTGGAGTCCACTGGGGCTGTTTGAAGGTGCTTTGTGCCCAACACGAGCTCCCTTCTCCCTGGTCCCCAGAGCCCATCCAGGCACTCCCAGGGTTGGGTTTTTTGGGGAAGTGCCTGCCTGGAGCTCAGGCAGGTCAGACATGAAGCCCTTGGCCATGGGACACTTGTGGTGACAGGGACATTGAGCTGTCCTGAGTCACTGAGCTGGCAGATCAGGGCCCAGTTTGAGGCCTTTTACTGTTCTCAAAAATCCTGTTGATGGGGCAGAAATAGTTGGGAAATATTTGGATTGGTCCTCGTTGATCATTAGAACCATACAATAAATAATAATTGATTTGTCCCCAATTTCCAGGAGAATAATACATTTACATTTTGTATTACCAAGAGCTGAGTGGTGCTCACAAGAAGAATGCTTCCAGGGCTGATTTAGTGCCTGGATTGACCGGATTCCTTTGAATTTCCAGGTTTGAATCCTCATCCCATGCCATCAGCATGAGTGCCTACCTGCGGGAGCAGAGGAGGGAGCTGTACAGCAGGAGTGGGGAGCTGCAAGGTATGGAAAGGGATCCTGGGGCAGTTGGATAATTCCCTTCTGCTGGAGCTGGAATATCCTGTCCAGCCTCTGGCAGGTATTGATCTCTGCTCTCAGTCTCTCCAGGTTTTAAGCTCTTGTTTATTATGAGGTTGTGAAAGGTTTCTCTTTATTCTCTCAGCATTTTCAGCTGGAGGTCGAGGTCTTAAAAAATACTCATAAAACAATGGGTGAAATACAAACAACCTCACCTTGAGCACTGGGTTTGGGTATTGGAGCTACCTTGGATTTTTAACTGCAATTTATTTCCTCACTGTGATACTTTCATTGCTTTGGGGGCTGAGCTGAGCTCAAATTTGAAGCTGGATGGACTAAAGTGACCGATTCTTTGTGTTTTGTACACTTGAGGAGCTGCAGAGTGTTGGCAGATGGTGAATCAGGGGACTTGGGCTGCTTTTGCTGATTTATATTGCCCATGGCAAGTGGTTTGTGTGCCCAGGGAAGTGTTTCCTGCTCCAGGCATGGCATCATTTCACTTGTTTTTCCTGAGTGATCCACCAGTGCTTGGGTTTGGCAGCAGAATCAAGGGAATATCCTAAGATTGCCATGATAATGTACAGCAGGACTAAATTCTTTTGTGTCATCTATTCCAATTTCTTCCTGGGCTAATCATAACAAGAAAATAATTTATGCTCTTCAACTATTACAGAGATGACCAGGGGCAGAATTTCTCCCAGAAATTCCCATCCGTGATAATTTTCAGCTGGCTTTTAGTTGAGTATGTTTTATAATTTGCAAGAGAATTTTTGGATGCCTTTGTGTTCCCTTCCTCCTTTCATAACCTGTCCCCAGCGACAACTCAAACCCACAAGGCTGTGAAAAAAAGCCTTGAGGGGCAGAGATTGCTCTTGTTTTGTTCACTTGGGTGACTGCAGAGGTGATCTGAGCATTGATGATCAGGGCTGTTAATGGTTCTGTGGTGAATTCTGAGATCCTTTTGGGTGGACTGAGGAGGAAGAACCTGAGCTCAGGACGTGCTGAGGGTGACAGCTGCCCACCCCCTGATCCCACAGCACGTGGGAGTGAAGGGAAGGGGAGATACCTGTCACCTAAACTGGGATCTCACCTTTTACACCCTTGGGAGGTGTTGAGCTCACAGCTTTCTGCCTTTTGGGGTTCAGGTTTTCACCTTTAGAAGTGTCACATGTCCAGGATCGGCTGGGAAATGTCCCCCAGGTCAGTGGGATGTGGTTAAAGTGTTCCATCCCATTATCAGGTTTTATTCCAGGAGGATTTAAGTAGTTAATTCTCCATAATTATGAGCTCTCTGTTACAAACTGTGTGGGACAAATGTGGGCTCAAAGCCAAGAATTTTGTGGCTGTTGAAATTTTGAGCTTTTTGGGGCCATCAGGGAGCCTGCAGGACTTGCTCCAGAATTTCCTGTCCCTTTGGGATGAGTCCTGTTGCCTTCTGTCATTCCTGGTTGTCCACGTGGCTTCAAAAGCAAGCAGAGAACGGAATTGATGCTCTCCAGATCCTTGTCCTCCTCCAGGTGCCTTGTGGCTGAGATTTGGGGATTTTTGTGGTTATTGCCCTGAGTTTGGAGCTCATTCAGAGCCAGATTTCATGGAAGAGTGATTCCTTAGGGATACAAAACAAATCCTGGGGCAGCATTTGGGATGAGCAGGCCACTGGGAGCACCTCCAGGAGAGGAGGATGCAGCAGAGCTGCTCAGGCTGCCCAGGGAGCACGGGGTGGGGAAGAACAAAGCCCAGGATGTGCCAGAGAAATAAAGGACAAAACAGGAATTAGTGTGGAGAGGGCCAAGACCCCGCTGCCCTTTGCAGCTCAATTGGAAGAGCCTGGACGTGATGCAATAGGTGACAAAAAGTCAGTGTGGGGAGGCAGTGGGGACAATAGATGAGATGACTTTGCTGAGATCCTTTGCAGTTGAACCATCAAGAATAAGTTTCCCTTTGAACTTCACGTTAAAAATGCAGTAACCTCTGTCTCTATTATGAGCTGCTGTTCCCTTTTAGGTTGCTCATTAATCTTCTTGAATCCCAGACCACAGCAAGATCTGCATTTGGATTTTTTTTTTTATATATATATATATATTTATTTTTTTTATTTTTTTTTTTATCCCTTTTAAAGAGAAATACAGTTTAATTGTTCAATCAGGTTAGTGGAAAGCAGACATGTGACACTCTGTCTTCTGTGAACACTGCACAGTTTCTGTTCCCAACAGCCTTATCCACAGGGATGATTTTTCAGTGGCAGCAGGGGGAGGGTGACTTGTTAGGGAATCTTTTTTCCTGAAAAGATCTTCAAAGAAACATATGCATGAAAAGAAAGGAATTTATAAAAGTTTAGCTCACGCTAACTTTTTTGAAATAAGAATTTAATTTAAATAGCCTTAAAAATGTGTGAAGATCAGAGTGATGCTTTGTCATTAACCCCTTTGATTTGGACTGAAATAGTGCAGAGCATGAGGCTCACATTATCCCTCAGTGGGGGAAAGGGACCTGCTGCAAGTGATTTAGAGCTGGAATTCTTCTGCCTCATTCCACTGAAATTGCAGGAGAAAGACTTCGGCCAGGTGTTTTTCCCTTGAAGTTGGCCACACAAGTTCTCTAACAACTGTCATTAAAAACAAGGTGGGGGCAAGTACAGAAGTGAAATATTTCCTTCTGGACTGGTACAGTCTGGGGAGAGCTGGGAATGTTCCCCTGGAGAGGAGAAGGATCCAGGGAGAGCTTCCAGCACATTCCAGGGCCTGGAGGGGCTCCAGGAGAGCTGGAGAGGGACTGGGGACAAGGCCTGGAGGGACAGGACACAGGGAATGGCTTCCACTGCCAGAGGGCAGGGATGGATGGGATCTGGGGAAGGAATTCCTGGCTGGGCTGGAATTCCCAGAGCACCTGTGGCTGCCCCTGGATCCCTGGAATGTCCAAGGCCAGGCTATACATTGGGGTTTGGAGCAGCCTGGGATTGGTGGGAGGTGGCAGGGGTGGCACTGGCTGGGATTTGAGGTCCCTTCCCACCCAAAGCATTCCATGATTCTCCGAATGACACGGAATACCAGCTGCCACTTCATCACTTGTCCCTCTTCTGCTTTTTGCACATTGTTTCCTGAACAGATTTCTGTTCAAAGGGAGATATTTTGGAATTGTACGCTCTGTTTAGGCTGGGTTTGGTTGGCAATCCCAAGCAGGTGCCGCTCTGTGAGTCACAGCCAGCTCAGCTCTGCCCTGTCCTGCAGCTGGGCTGGGGCTGGCCATGCAATGGGAAGTGCTCCGGAGCTCCCGTGGTTCCCGAGGATGTGAGTGGATTCCACACCTGTTCACCACCCCCAAAATTTGAGGCTTGTTTTTTCTTTCCCCCTGGAAACTCAGAGCATTTCTGCAGCAATTCACCTCCTCCATGGCTTTGTGGAGCAGGATTTTATAGGGAATGTGGGATGGATTGTCCAGGGAAGGATGATGGGAGCAGGAGTAGGATCAGAATTGCAGAGTCAACGCTCAGTCCCATGTTCCATCCCACTGATTTTTATTGATTATTGAAGGTATTGATTTATAGACAAACAGTGGCTGCTCTGCCACTCAGGAGGATGCTCCATGTGCTGTTCCCTGAGGAATCACTCCTACAAATACTTGTGGTCCATTGAATGATAGAAAATATTCTTGGATTGTTGTCATGCCTTTGTTTTTTTTCCTTTTAATTTCTTCTGGGGTTTTAATGAAAATTTTTGTCTCTAATCCTCATGCTTTGGCAACTTGTGGATGAGTTTGTGCTCTGCTGGCACTGGAATTTGGGACAGGGCTTGTTGTACAAAGAAAGGAGGAAAAAAATCACCTGACTTCACAGAGAAAGTCTTTAATAGAACAAAGGATGAAATTTGTGCCCCAGAGCTGAATCCTCCCAACTACTGGATACATTTTGTGTGCTGAACTGAAACAGCAAAGATTCAATACTTTGTGAAGTTATTTAGGCAGTTTCTGTCCAGAGCATTCCAGAGGTGCAGTGCCACTTCTTCCTACTTGAAAAAAAAATAAATAATTGGATAAGTTCCCCTTGATTCTGTTTGAAGGAACGGGAGGGGAATTGAATGAGATGATTTTTAAGCAAACCATTCTGGGACTCTGAAGTTTCAGTTTTTCACAGGTGATTTTAAATACCCAGAACTTTTCTGTAGGTATTTCACTCTTGGTGGGAGTGGTAAGAGTATTATATCAATTTATTTATATGCTAAAAATGGAATGCAAGAGGCTCTTGTGGATTTTAAATATGCAACACTCAAATATCTAAAAGCTGCCCAGTAGTTTAGCTGGAAGTGGAGAGCATTTCCACACCTTGGAATATCCAAGGCCAGGCTGGAGCACCCTGGGACAGTGGGAGGTGTCCCTGCCCATGGCAGGGGTGGCACTGGATAATTTCAAGGTCCTTTCCAATCCCAACCAGTCTGGGATTTTAGGAACCTTCCAGGTTGCTCACCTCTGGCAAAGGATGGCAGATGTGGCAATAAAACAAAGCTCTGGTATAACAACACAGTAAATTATAGTGGGTCATTTTTAGAAACTCCAGGGATTCTTTTTCTTTGCTGGCTGGGGGATAAATGAAAAGCCTTAAATATGTCTCTGACACAAGTCTAAATTTGGGAAGTGGATTTGTGTTACTCCCCAGTCTGCTGCTCATCCATTCCCCACCCAAGCCCAAAAAATTCCTTACCATAAGGTTTTAAGTAATTAAAGAAAACCAACGAGAAACTCTGCTAATTAAGATTTTGACGCCAAGAAATAGCAGCAGAGGCACGCTTGATCTGATATGACAAGGGCACGATGTAAGGCCAGGTCCAGGGAAAATGCAGTTATTTGTAGGTGCCTTGTTCCATTTGGATTCACCCAAGGGCTGCCGGAGGGAGCCAGCTGTGCTCAGCAGTGACAGAAACCGATGCTGACATTTGGGATAATGAAAATTCGGTTCAGCACCTCGGCGAGACGTGGATGATAACGTGTTGTCAGTCAGAAGTGGTGGTGGGGAGGGGGAGAGGGAAGGGGATTCGTGTCT